GGGGGAGGAGGGGGGGGGGGGGGGGGGGGGACGCGCGAGTGCATGGCTTCCCTCCCTTCGCCTGCCTGCCTCGCAGCCTGCCTTCCTCTTCCCGGCCAGCGCAGCCCCACATCACTCTCGTGGCGGCGGCTCCTTCCTGGCACCCGTCTTCGGCCTGTCTTCGGTAAGCGAGTTTTTTGCATAGGGACGGACACTATGCCTCCGCATTAGCGATCCCGGAGAAGGGATCGCTATGCGGATTCGTCGTTATACGGTGCGCTCGTTATGCGAGGCACCACTGTAATTTTAAAAAGTTACTTTCTTCAGCTATCCCTCTCACCAGATTTTCTGCCGCTTTAAAAAGTTAATGAGATAAGATAGCAATTCTTTTTTTCCATATGTAGGGGTACGTGGGCAATTAGTTGTAAAAAGATTCTCACCCGATGGAAAAACAGCGATGCCAGGTGCTGTTCCTTGCTTCTCTCAGCCGGCTGCCAGCGACTTGGAAGCTCACCGAAGCTGCATATTTCTGCCCGTTGGCTAATTAGGGAGTTTCCTGGATCGAACCGGGGTGGCCACCGCCCCCCGTGATCAACAGGCTTTCTCCCCCAGTTCACCACCCCTCCAGGGTGGTTCCGACACCCTACGGTGTCCCAAAACGGGTCAGAATTCAGCTCAGGGGACAGAGCTCTGCCCTCCTGCTGCTGTCTCGTCGCGACGTCAAGCCGGAAGTACTGTAGCTTTTCCCACTCTCTTGTTGACTATGAGGGCTACTCCATTTCTTCTACAGGATTCTTGCCCACAATAGCAGATATGATAGTCATCTGAATTGAATTCGCCCATTCCTGTCCATTTTAGTTCACTGATGCCCAGGATGTCAATGTTGATTCTTGCCATCTCTTGTTTGACCACATCCAGCTTACCAAGGTTCATAGATCTTACATTCCAGGTTCCTATGCAGTACTTTTCTTTGCAGCATCGGACTTTCCTTTCACTTCCAGATGCGGCCGCAGCTGAGCATCCTTTTGGCTTTGGCCCAACCACTTCATTAGCTCTGAAGCTACTTGTACTTGTCCTCCACTCTTCCTCAGTAGTATGTTGGACGCCTTCCAACGTGAGGGGCTCATCTTCCAATGTCATATCTTTTAGCCTTTTGTTTTTTGTCCATGGAGTTTTCTTGGCAAAGATACTGGAGGGCTTGCTAGTTCCTGCTCCAGGTGGATCACATTTAGTCAAAACTCTCCACTATGACCTGTCTGTCTTGGGTGTCCCTGCACGGCATAGCCCATAGCTTCTTTGAATTACTCAAGCTTCTTCGCCACGAAAAGGTTGCAATCCATGAAGGGGCCCAGACATACACACACAGCTATAAATTCCCCCTTGAAGCAAGTGAGAAAATAAATTGGTAACCATGGTGAACCCGACCATAATGATTCCAATAGGAGGAAATACATCAGTCCAGCTAAAAGTGTTGAGACTTTGATCTCAAAATGTATTAAATATAAATATTGTATAGTTGAAAGTAAAATGGCTGATTTTACCTGAGTCATATACTGAAGGGATTCAGGTTTGGGTACCAAGGTTGAAGTCTTGATATTGTACAGCTGTAGAAAATTA